GAGACACCAGCTGAACTCTCTCAGTAATTAGAGAGCAAGCCTGCCCCTCAGTGACTAAAAAACAAACAAAATTTTTTTTTAATTTTGTAAATTTGCCTGGGGCCATGGAAAAATGATATCTGTAAATAAGATAGTGATATTGGTACATTTATTCATTGTCTTGTTTTAAATTAAAACAATTAGGCCTGTTTTCCTTACAGCTTCATGACTGATCAGTGCTGATGCAGCTTCACCGGCCTTACATGAACTCACAAGTCCTGGGTCGACAACCAGCTTCATAGTACAACTAAGACCGATTCCTCAGTACTTGTGTYGGTTAAACCAGATCAGCTGGATGAGACTGGTCATCAACTTGTTTCATCCACCATGAAGAACACAGTGGTCTTTGTTTCACAACTCACTGCMGTGCTGATGTTTCAGAAATGTTTCGTGCAGATCCATGTGTTTCAGAGGGGAACAAAACCAAATGTGACGACAATAACAAAATCACTGCAGATGATCTGCGTACTGTCAGAAAAAATTTGGTCTAATGCGTGTGTGAGTGTGCATTTTGTGCTGTAGTTGTGTGTGTGTGTGTGTGTGTGTGTTGAGCTCAGAGGCTCGGGCGGATCTGGGCCAGGCTCTGGGGAGGCATTGTTCCTTTATGGAGCTGTTCACTTCATTGGTAGTTTATGTTCTGTAGCCAAGACCTGTTACTGCCAACACACACCACCCTCTGACCCACTCCTGTTCTCTACTACCAATAAAACTAAGTAACTCCAGAGAATTACGCCGCTGTTTGTGTGTTTGTGTGTGTATGATCAAGCATGTGTGTGTTTGTGTGTGTCGGGGGTCTTACAGCAGCTCCCTGCTGGCTCCTGCTTTAAAAGACTTTGGCTCCAACATGAACTGAGATGGCAGAGGGGTCGTCCCCCACTGATGGATTCATAATGCTGCTGACACTAATTCAACTCCTGATGTTTCTCACGTTTCTTAAGCCCAGTTAAATAACGGCTGGATGGACAAACTCTATATCGTTGTGGGTAAAAAGGATGTTATAAATGAAATAAGACATGATTTGAACATATTTTCTGTACTGCATGTTATTCCACAAAACCACAAGGTTACCATGACAAGAACTACAACAACTTCTTCAGGACCTGAAACAAGCTTTTTTCAATTTTCCGCTTTCTCTGATGTTCCTAAAACATCAGCTAAAATTAAAAGAAAAACATTTAATTTGGTTTGGAAACGTCCCTAAATAAGAATGTCCTCAGATTACGTTGAGCTCACCATATCCAGTCTGGGACACCAGCTCGGCTGCTCCCCCAATGGGTTTGGTAAAAACCCCCACAATGCCTTTCCCCACTCCAGAGATCACCCCTCTGGCTTTGCTTCCTGCTGAGCTCTGCATTTCCCAGTTCCTTTGGAAGTTCTGCATGGGTTGGTCCACAATGCCTGCTATCGCTCCTGAAAGAACAAGAACATGATGCAACCTGGTTAACCCTCTAAGGTCCAAGCCCGCTCCAGAGTGGGCATCGACATGACACATTTAGGGGTAATTCGACAAAAATGGCAGCATGCTGAGTGCTCATTTCAACTGGGTTGGACAGCACAGACTTCAAACTCTATAAAAACAGTGTTTTTATATAGTTTTTTTTTTATTTACTTCAAAATAAAACCAGATTTATGATGAATCATTTTTGACATAATTTTATGAGCATTTTTTATGCATTTACTGCACATTCAGTGAACGTTTTGTGACCAGGAAGTGCTTGAAAGCAACAGGACACCTACTTTTCTGATTTCCTGAAATGAACCACATTTTCAAAGCAACAAATAAAAAACATTTGTCTGTACGCTTGTGGAGAATGTGAGAAAGTGTTTTGGAGAAGGGAGAATGGAATGAAGTCAACATTTTGGTTGTGCTGAAACTAATGATACCAAACAAAACAAGGTGAATAGTTATTAAGATAAAACATATACGGGTAGATTCAAAATGATCCAAAATGGTCATTTAAGCCCCAGACCTTAGATCAGTGGTGTCTAAGGTCGGTCCTCGAGGGTCGGTGTCCTGCATATTTTAGGTGCTGCCCTGGTTCAACACAGCTGAACCTAAGGAGTGCTTAATTAGACCTCTGCAGACCTTGATGGCAAACTGAGAAGGTAAATCATCTGTTTGAATCAGCTGTGTTGAAACAGGACAAACCTAAAACTTGCAGGAGACCGGTCCTTGAGGACAGGAGTTGAACCTGCCTGCTCTACAGGAAGTACATGATGGTGTAGTTTACTTTCTAAATGACTCAGTGATCCGAACATCACATACATCACAATCTATCCCAGTGCCATCTGTGCGCCTCAGTTAGTCTTTGTTTACCTAACAAGCTGATGCCAAGTCGGGACAGTCCCTGTCTCAGTCCGTCCCCAAGGCTCTCCGGTAGTTGTCGTCTCCACTCCTCCTGCCTGGTGTAGTGCTCTTCGTCCAAAGACAGACGGTCCATGTTCCTGGCCAGACTTGTGGCCAAGTTAGTGATGGACGTCAGGGTCCCTGAGCGTGGAAGAGACRTATGTTTATTGTTCAGTGTCAACATTAACACTGCTCAGTAAGTTACAGGCCCGTGACTGTGTTACCTTTTGAAATGTGTTTGACAAAAGAGGTGGTTCCTCTGGACACGCCGCTGACGAAGGCTCCGGGCCCCCGGGTCAGACCCTCGTACGGCAAGCGGAAGAAGTCGGACACGCCGTTTCCGATGCTGCGGACCAGACTGGCAGGACTGCCGAGGATCTCCAGGGATCCCACCACCCAACCTGAGATAAAGGAACAACACACAGGAATAAACCATCCCCTCTACCCCACATGTGCTCAGTGAGGTGTATTCTAACAGTTAATATCCTGGGAGGAAACTTTTCTCTCAGTTTAGAATAGCCTAAAGCTAAACTTTAAATGCACCTAAATATTTGGAGGGAGCGTCAATTATGTAATCAAAGGTGGTTTCCTGAACTGATCCAGCTGGACTCTTTCAGATTTCTGACAAGTTTTGTGTTGAACAAAAATAAAAAGACGTGTTCAGAAACAAACATGAGGCAAAGCCAAATCCCCTCACTGGTCTCTTCTTGCCAAAAACTATTTAAAATAATCACTTCAAATTCTTATCTTACAAACACACACACACACACACCACACCTGCATGTAATCATACACGAGCCTGAGTGAGATTTATAACCTCCCACTATCTCACCTCTCTCCCTGAACCATGAAGGCCCTTCAGATGGCACGGCTCACTGATATTTATGCTCTGACAGCTGCATCAGAAAAACCTTTCCCAAGATGCCAGGCCCTGCTCTGYTCTTATTCTCTGTCAATTTGTGCTTGAGTGATGGACTCCAATGGTAGAAAACCAACTCCAGTGGGAACTAGTGGTTGTTTCTGCTTCCTCTGATCTCCCAGTTGTGGTTTTTGGTGAAGCACAAAGTCCTAACAGGGCATGATGTTTACAAGGCCGAGCTTCACTTTCAAACAYAAACACAAACGTATCAGAGGGAAGGCACTGAACAGTAAAACCCTTTAACTGCTCAYTGTGCGTGGATTTACGTGTGTGATGTGGGATCACGGCGCTCTCGTGGTAATCAGCCCCAGGGTGCAACACTTCTCAGAGCCGCTCGGTCTGCAATGACTACAGAAGAGGGGAAGGYGGCGAGGTGACGTGTTGAAATATGAGCAGAAACGAGTCTTTTAACGAGAGACAGCAGGAAGGAAGTGTCTGACCGCGATGATGAAGATGATTTCTGATGTGGAAATGATGGAGATAAATCAGACCATGTGTGGGCATGGGACAGTTACGGGGTCTGATATGTCAGCTGGGATTCGGCAGTCCATCGCAAACTGATGAGAAAATACTGCCTTGAAACGGGTCATGAATCATGACTCAGCAGCAACACTCAAACAAAATAAACAGCTCTTTGGTGAAACCAGTTTACTGCACTTTCTGCCATGAAACCAGGACAACCTCAAAGGTTCAGCTGTAATCCTGGTCAGAACAAACAGATCCTGGTGTCCCTCAGTGTAAACTATGATCTAACGTCTTCCTGCTTTGACTTACCGGCTCTAAAGAGGGCTCCGGCAGCGTAGTGCATGGCCAGGGCGTGAACCAGCTGTCTGGCTGTGGTGCAGAGCGGCCCCCTCTCAAACACAGAGAAGGACAGAGGAGTGTGGTCCGAGGCGATGTACAGCTTCAGGGAGGCGTGGATGCTGACCAGCAGGTTGACCGGCTGGATTATCAGCCTCTGCAGACGCACAGGGTAGACCAAGGCCTGCATGGACTGAWGCACCTAAATGAGGTCACAAGGAAATATTAGTTATTCATTCAGAACATGTTTTATCTAAGCTCTACAGAGTAAAGACAAAGAAAACAACACGAGAGCATCACTGCAGGCTGTCCTGGTGAAGAAACCTAAAAAAAATCCAATGTTCTAAGTACTGCACCTCTTCAGGGAGAACTGGACCTGCTCCAGGTTCTCTGACCCTGCTGGACTCCACAGAACTTTTGGGGATGTAGGTGTAAAACAGGGTCTTTATGTAGTAAACAAAAGTGTCCTCCAGGTAGACTCTGGCAGGCTGGAGCTGAAAGCTCACCTGAAAGAAGAAAAACACACAAAGCTGTTGTCTAACCTGCTGCTTCAGAGTTATTATGAAACATGTTTTCATACCAGCAAATCCTGAATCAGCTAATGCAGCAGGCTGCAAAAGCTTGGGCAGCCTTGTTAATTTTCCTGATTTAACTTTATAAATTGATTGTTTGGATAAAAATATCAGTAAAATATATCATATAGGGGACAAACACAGTGATATTTGAGAAGTGAAATGAAGTTGATAAGATTTATATAAAGTGTTAAAGTGTGCAATAATTGGTTAACAAAATTAGGCAGGTGCATTAATTTGGGCACCGTTGTCATTTTATTGATTTCAAAACCTTTAGAACTAATTATTGGAACTTAAATTTGGTTTGGTAAGTTCAGTGACCCTTGACCTCCATACACAGGTGACTCCAATTATGAGAAAGGGCATTTAAGGGAGGCAATTGTAGGTTTTCCTCCTCTTTGCATCTTCTCTGAAGAGTGGCAGCATGGGAGTCTGAAAACAACTTTCAAATGAGCTGAAAACAAAGATTTTTCACCGTCATGGTTTAGGGGAAGGATAAAGAAAGCTATCTGTAAATCATCAACTTCATTTCACTTCTCAAATATCACTGTGTTTGTCCCCTATATGATATATTTAACTGATATTTTTATCCAAACAATCAATGATTTATAAAAGTAAATCGGGAAAATTAACAAGGGTGCCTAAACTTTCGCACCCCACTGTATATGACACTGGAACATTTTCAAAATGAAGCATTTTTATAGYAACATTAGAAAGTTMAAATGTCAAAATCAAAAGATTAACTCATTTAAAATCTGTTTTAGTTATTTTAAAAATCTGATATTAGTTAGCATTTAGATATCCTGCAACTGTTTTTCTGATTAACCTGTTAACCTTGTTAATTTAGATTTTATTCTTATTTTATTGTTAGTTTTATCGTTTATATTCTAGATTTTATGTTTAATTAAGCACTTGGAGTTACTCTAACATTTGATAAGTGCTAAATAAAAACTGAGTTGTGCTCTGGAGGTTTCGGATGCTGTGGAGGAGAGATGCTGATGTGGCGTGACAGAAAAGTATAAAATGTATCAAATGAATTTCACCTCCTCCACAGTGCGTCCGTCTGCAGCCAGCACCATCTTCAGCTGCAGGAAACACGAGCGTTTGAACTCTTCCAACATCTCTGGGGACTCGGTGGGATTGGTGTCGCTGCTCCACAGAGCGCTGGGCTCGCCTCCCCCTCTCTGATCCTGGCACAGCAGGACGGGGAAGTGGAAACTGGCCCGGTTGTACAACTGGTTGTCCACCTGAAGGCCGGAGCAGTAGACCTCGATCAGAGAGGTGTCCGGCACCAGAGTGGAGTCGGCTCCCAGCTCGGGGGGCAGGGGGCTGGGGGCAGGGAGCAGGCTGAGCAGCAGCTTCGTTAACGTGAGTCTCAGCAGCTCCACGGACCCGGCGGGACTGGTGATGTCATCACTTAACACCACACTGGCCTGACTCAGGAGGATTTTAAAAGACAGCTTGGAGGACCTAAAAACCAAAGAGAAAACATCAAAGTTGATTCTGAGCAGTCGAACTGTAAACTGAGCGTGTTTCTCACAGCCGCAGTTAATGATGTTAAATGAGCCCTTTTTCAATACAAGCAAACATTTTCATCTTATACACCACTTCCAACCAGTCGTGTACGATGACTGATTATTTATAGAGAATAATATGAGACCAAACTCATTCATCCCTGGCTGATGTTTTATACATTTTCTAACAGAACATTAATAAAAATCATCGTCTGAGCTCATTTGTTTACATTTACCTAACCAGCCATTATATTATCCTGTTTAGCCAAAACGACACAGCAGCTATGTAATGGAATAAAACTGTAACATTATGTTCTGCTGTGCACCTGCGGCCAAAACTCTGAGAATGACACGAGTTCAGTGTTTTCACATCTTTTGGTCCCATGTTTCCAGTGAAGTGTACTGAAAAGCATTTCAAAGGTTTCAGGGGTTTTTATTGACAATTAGGTCGAGTTTATACAAAGAGTCAGTTTTTGCAGTTTTGGTCTTCTCTCTGCAACTCGTCCTGGCATGCTGTCAATCCAGCTCTGGGCCAAATCCTTCTGACATAATCTGTGTTTGGAGTTTGTCAGAATGTGTGGGTTGCTGTTTGTCCACCCGCCTCATGAGGATTACCCACAAATTCTCACTGAGGTTAAGGTCTGGAGAGAGTCTAACCTCAAAAKTTGATGTTTTGTTCCCTTAGTAACTTAGTTATCACTTTAGCGTTATGGTGCTCCACCACACAGGAACAGACGCTGTTTGTCACCAAACTGTTCCCAGAGCAGGTTTAGGTATTGGCTTTTTATCCATGACTGGGTTCTAAGGTAAAACTGAGAGATGTTCTCACTTCACCGGCTGCCTGATGTCATCTTCAACACAAATCAAATGATCTCCTTGAAGACTTTATGATCAAATAAAATGTAGATTTAGGTGCAATCCTATCAGATGCAACATCAGCATGTGATGCCCGTTTGGTGCAAAACAATGATGACTATTAAGTAACCATGGCTAACGAGAGGAAGGGAAAAAAGATCAAGCACCACCTTCCTTTTAAAGCAGGGGTCTCCAACCTTTTTTCCCTAAGAGCTACTTTCACAAAATGAAATTGTCCAAGAGCTACTCTTTGCAACATTTAATTTAATCCTCAAACCATTGGAATAAGCCTGTTTTGCACAAAAAAACATTGTCTTAAATTCACAGAAAACCACCACAAAGAACACTGAATTTACATGACTGTTTTTTGTATTTATCCATTCATGTTATATTGTATTTCACACTATGAACTTAGGGTTTAACTGCAACAGATTTGTGCAAAATTAACGTCGGGTGACAGGTCTCCAATTTTTTTCCACATTGTACACTCCAGCAGGAAGAAACCCCCTGTATTGACATATACTGCAGCAGGAGGGGTTTCCCAGGAGTTTGGCACAGTGTWTTTCAAGGGGCTATGAAAGGTGTGTGCAAAAACRAACGCTGAACAACCACATGACAGCGCGTAATCTGGCGATCAACCATGACCTAAGGTGTTTGATTGAAAACTAAGGAGAAGGGGCATCTATAGATTGATTGGAATTAAATGAAAGTTTGTTTAGCCAGTGACAAATTAAATTTTGCTTCTCCTAATTTTTCATAAGAACTGAAGAGCTACTTTAAATGTGCTCAGGAGCTACTGGTTGGAGACCCCTGTTTTAAAGTATCCAGTCTGCCATTCTAACTCAGATGATAGAGTTCTGAGACCACCTAATCTGAGACCATGAAAAAATGGAAACCATTTGGACTTTGCAGTTAACTACAATCCTTTTGATTGCTGCCATTACTAAAAACTTGTTGTCAATCTTTGTTATAATCTTTGTGTTATTTTCAGAGGGTTTTGGCCAGAGGTGTACCTCCAGTATAACTCCAGTTTTGAGAGCAGAGGCAGGTTTTGTCTCCCTCCTGTGGTGAAAGCGATGCCTGCTTCTCTGTGAGTAAAAACTGCTGGTAGCATTTTTCATGACGCAATAAAAAGCTTTGAGTTGAGAACAGTGCTTGTTTACAGCTGAAGTATTGCAGGAAGCTAACGGATCCACAGTCTGGACACACCTGCTGAGCTGGTTGATGACGGTGTCCACGTCGCCTTCTGGTGCCAGAGACAGAATCAGGGTGCCTCGCTCACATGACACGTCTATGTAGAGGCAGCCAAAGCCCGACAGGAACACCACCTGATCAAGAACAAATTACAGAAGTCATCAGACATGAACTGAGACACTCTCTGACCAGAGTCACGCAGTGTAAATAATATGTGAGACCGTAACTTTAACCATTCAGAGTCGAAGCTTGGCTCACTGTTCTGTCTCACTCCATCATCCTGGGTTTCAACTCATCAGAAACTCGTGTGATGAGAGGAAGCAGATCATCGCTGAAYGCTCCTCTGAGCAGTCATAACAAGTCTGACCTTTGACCTTCCACCTCTAAGAACACAAGTCAGACCCAGACCTCACAGTAACCAGAGATACGCAGCCTCTGCGTCAACTCCAGCTCACAGCTGCCTAGACACAACACCAAACATTACACACACGCTCCGTTAGGTTTTACTAACCCCACACATGTACACTGACCCAACCACAAATACTGAATGATTGCCTAACTACACACACATACATACGCACACACGCATGCACACACAAACACCAACTTAACCTTTGTTTTTTATATAAAAGGTAAAAAGGACAGCCACACAAATCTAATTTATTGGCACAACCCAAGCTTGTTTTGTTGAATTTAAAGCTCAGTTTTGGAAAAAATAAACACAAATTGAGGTGAAAGGGGGTTGCCAGTCATGATGTGTCTGGTAGTTATTACTCAGCTAATTCAAAACATCAACTCTGCCATTAAAGCAGAGTGATCTCTGGCTCYATCTAGCTGGTACAGAAACGGGTGAAACATTAAAATTATTAGAGAAACTACGAGAAGCTTGCTGAACATGTGTGTTAAAACACTGAGGAGATGAGCCGTTTGAAAGAACACGAAGAAATGAAAMGTTTTCTGTTCGGGGCATTAAACCTCCTGCATGTGAGACGAGCTGACRTTCACAGAGCTCCTTGTGTTCACCTGAGTGCCAGGACAGTTTATGTCCACGGGGTCGGTCCAGTCGCTGGAGCTGTGGGCTGACGTGGTCTTCAGCTGCAGGGTGGGCAGCACCTCTTTCTGTCGGCACTCAGGAAAACTGGACGACTGGGAGTAGAGCTCATGGTGCAGGGAAGAGTTAGCAGGCAGGGGTCGACAGTACACTACCGTCCTGGGAGTCTCTGAAAAGTAAAAAAAAAAAAATAGTATTAAGAAATCAACAATTAATTAAACATTTGAAAGGTTTTTTTCTACCTTTTACAGTTTCCCTGAGCAGCAGGGGGATGGGACACTTGTTGTGGATCAGCATGCGTGGACAGGGGTCCTCAGTGAAGCTAATGTACGTCACTCCATGGTGTTCCTGATATGTCAGCACTACGGCTCTGAAAACAAACAAATCCAACACAGGTTTTCATACATCATGCCTTCTAACAGAACAAATCTAATCTGTAGACAGACCCCTAAACAACCCAACAGGTGACACGGTTGAGAGTTTATTTTTATTTTGTTTACAGCAGATTTCTATTTACGGACTTTAAAACCCCGTGAAGAATGTTTTTTTTCTTTATGCTTTCAAACAAACCGTAGATAAATGCTAACATGAAACTCACTTTTACGCCAATTTTAGTAAAAGTTTTGTCTAGACGTCTGTTCAGCCTGAAAGCACTCACATGTGGTGTGTGTGTGTGTGTGTGGTTGTGACACACAACTACATGAGCTCTGCCTGGGTTGACGTCAATATAAGAGCAACATAAAGTGTATATTTCTCATGTTTTACGAACTCGTAGAAATGTTGCACTCTTAGTTTTTGATCACTCAAACCTTTTATCCTGTTTTCTCCGATTTCCAGTTTTAGCAGCTAAAACACTGACTTTAGCTTCTTTTGACGTCATCACTGCTGAAGGCTACGTATCTGATTAGCATGCTAGTAGCTTCTGATGTTGGCCTGAACCAACTCGGGTGACTATTTTCGATGTATTCGTTTTAGTTTGTCTCTAAAAAAGTACAATCAGAATCAGTAAACGCTGATGTACATGCTTTTGTTTTACAGCTTGAATGATCACATGTTTTTAGGCCAAAATCAGATACAGAAACACAAGTTTGCYCTCGCACTTTGATAAAAGGAGGCAGCAGCAGAGATCAGGGCTCTTTGTCTCTATATGATTACATGTGATTGTGATTCCGCTGAAAGAGTGAAGCTCTGAGTGTAAAAACTCGACATGTTCATTGTTCCGTGTAAAGCTGTCCAAACAGCTAAATGATCTGAATAAAAAACTTAACAAAAAAGTTTTCAAGTAAAGCACGTGTAAAAGTTGTTGTAAGATTTGTGAAAATGGCAATAAACATTTCAACAACAAAGAACCAAAAAGAGACAAAAGGAGCTGAAAACAAAGAGTCAGATGACAAACGTTGAGTCGGCTCCATCTGCAGGATTTGACAGAGTGAATCTTTGCTTAATGAGCAGAGGCAGCCAGTGTTTGGCGCCCTGCTTTAAACGAACTGTCACAGCCATCAAAGCATGGACGCTCTGCCTCACCCACCTGCTGCTCAGCCCGCCCCCTGAGTCCTGATCCTCCGGCACCGACACGCTCTGCCTGAGGAAGTCTGGTCGCACCGGAGCGGGGAGGCTCCATGCTGTACTTCCTGCAGCGTCAGGCTTTGGAAACAAGCTGAGGAGAATGTGTCTGAGYGGCAACGGGAACTCCACCTTCTCCTGGACCCCGGCGTGGAGGAGGTCCCAGTATGGCACGGAGCACGGCTTGGCTGGAGACGACTTGTCAGAGGGAGGAAAGGTGAACATTGTGCTCTCAGGTATTTCACAGGCCTGATGAGAAGAAAAAAATATCAAGAAATAAAAAAATCAAGATAATGTAAAAAAGAAAAGGGGGCAAAATATAGGTAAGGAAAACATCTCGAGAGAAAAAGGGGACAAAATGACATTAGAGGAGAGAATATGAGACGGGATATCAGGACCAAACAGAAAAGATGCAAGTAATTATAACTAAAGATACATTGTAAAACCACAATGTTATTTTACTTTATTCCCTCTCCCACTGAGCTTAGTGCTAAATTGGTAGCAGAGAAGTCCTGCTGTGCTGGTTTAGCAGCTAGCGAGCAGTAAGTCTTGAAGACTACAGGGATTATGCACTAAACATGATGAATAGAGCAGCTAGAAAGGCATTCCTTGCCTTGTTTGTGGTCTGTGTTTTTGTAAAGCTCATTGCCCAATCTTTAGGGATTTTTTTTTGGAAAGCTTTTTTTATTTTAAGTTCTTCAGTCCATTAGGGACGACTGGCGAGCTTTGCCATCATTCTATAAGGAGATCTGAAGGATTGGTAAATGACATCACAACATTGTTGCGCTCTTTGGGGACAGGCAGCAGATGAAAGCGAGAGAGGAAACCTGCATCCAATTCTGGGTGTTTGTCTAATGTCCCTATGAAGTGCCATAGCCACATGGTGAGAGCGGAGCAGGGAGAGGGGGCCGGGGGAACATGATCTGATGGAAAACGGCTTGCAACATCCCAGTGATGAGGAGCAGTGTGTGTGTGTGTGTGTGTGTGTGTGTGTGTGTGTGAGAGGTGGACGAGGGCGTTTGACGTGCCAAGAGGAATATGCTGCATGCAGGCTTAAGCTAGTGTGCACTCAGACTGTGCAGGTGTTAGAATGTATAAAATATCACGGTTTAGTGCGAGACTTCATATGTTCCTACTTCTAACTTGTGACTTTCACACTTAAAGCACTTTTTTTTGTGCATGGCAGTTTGAACGTAGAGTGTGGTGTGTTGTACTCGACCTGTTCATCGCCCCCCAGAGCGTGGTCCGTCAGCAGAGGCCTGCAGTGAAGGCTGTAGGGAGTGTTGTTGATGAGAAGGGTTCTATCCTCGATCTGTAGGATCTGGATGCCATGTCTCACCGCAGACGACACACAAAACTGGCACAGCTGCGCAGAAAAAAAAACAAAAATATTATGAATAACTTATTTTGACCGGTGGCTGAAAGGCAAAAGGTGGATATCGTTTTTGCCCAATGTTTGTTACCAAAATATCTCATGAACCYCTGCATGAAAAACGGGGGTGTTATGTATATTTTCCAGACACATAGTTCAACTCTTACCACACTCAAGAAACTGTTACTTTCCGTTATCATGAAGATGCTGTATATATCAAAAATAAATTTGACTTTGCATCTTAGTCTCTCTAAATGCCTTCAAACTGGCCTCTGTCTCTTTAAGAACCTCCTACTGTTTCTGACACTCCCACTGGATCTGTCTGTGTTTCATATAAGTCAACTCTTTGGGACATTTACATGTATCTTRACTTGCAAAAGAAATATTTTCACAAAAAAATCTATAGTAGCCTACTTGTACAAAGGCATGGTGTGGGGTGTGACAAGACTGTRGGCTGTGGGGTCAGGCAGAACCTGGGTGGAGAGAACAGTGTCTGCAGCACAGAGCAGCAGGGAAACGAGAACGAGGAGAGGGGGAGAAATTACTTCTAGCAGCAGAGACAGTTGGGAGATAGTTAATTTATTTTTATTTGTCATGTCCCACAGGCTTTGAGACATGAGATAAATTTGAAGCCGTTTTAAAATAAGTTTTTTTAAGTAAAAAAAAATCCATGAGATTTGCAAAAATACATAGATTTTTCTATGTCTATGTTTCTGCCAAAAGATTGGAAAAAAAAATCTGTATAATTTACAGACAATCCGTACAAGTTGACATGTATGAGGGGGGCGGGGGGTGCAGACTGAGCTCCAGGGAGGAGCTTTGWACAAATAGGTGGAGCTTTGTGTTTAGGSAGCCCAACATGGCCACAGGAGATTCAAGGATTTCTCAAACATGATAAATGAGTCAAAGCAACACTGAGTACGTTTCTGATGAATGACTTCATAATATGACATAAAGCTCTAAAAAGTCCATTTTACATAATACCCCACTAAAAAAAAGGTACAAGTATTACTGGGTTAATTCGACTAAAATCAAGCAGAAATTTTACAGAGGTAGCTAAGACCTGTYGTCAACACATTTGAACAATTATGTGCCAGTTTAATCTTTCCTGAATCAGCGGACAGATCAAACTTTCAGGACGTCCATCACTGACTAACTTAAACCAGTTCAAGATGGCTCCCACAGCCAGCTGACCTTACAAAACTCAAACGTGGATACAATTCACTAACTGATAATTAAATAAATAATGATAATAAGTTATTAAAATACTTTACTCTAAAACATCTRTGCATAAATCTGTCCAGACAGTCTAATAAACTACTTAACGTTYCCTCCTTAAAGTTCCTGACATTCAGAGAGCAGGAGGGGAGGTTTTCATCACCTTCTGTTTTCCAGGGAAGGCTCCCAAAGTAACGTCCACCTCCACGTAGCCCTCCTCATCCAGAGTGACCACCATCGAGTTTGAACCTTCCTTCCAGCGAGGAGAGGTCAGGTCATGGACCAGCTGCAATGCAGCCGACTTGTGGACGGTGTTGGTTTGGGCCCAGTAGATACCGATCTGGAAGGCTTCCTAAAGAATAAAGCAATGAGAGAACGATAAAGGAAGATTAAAGGGAAAGAGTCAGGAGTCAAATCACTGACRGTCAACTCACTCAGACGACTTTCACTAAAAACAAAAGCAGCTGTGGCTTTAATTCCAACGACTCAGCTCGTCTCAGTGTTACAGAATGGCAGCTGCATAACCTCCTCTGCAGCTCTCTATTTGACATTATTAAAATGTCCTGCAGATGTCTGAGTGACGCAGTCCTTCTTCATCTATTCTCCAATCTGCCACATGACTTTCTACTGAGACTGCCTCCTGTCTGTTGGGCCACGATAAATAACGCAGCACATTGGAAACAATGTCTGTTTCTTTTTCACAAGCTTTTAAGCATTTACAACTTTTTATTTTAGTCCTTTGTGCTGAACCTTATTAGTGTTTGCTCTTTGATACGCTGCCTCACCGCTTAGCTCTGGGTTAGCAGCAACAAAAAAAGAGCTCTGTGCATGTGTTTGTTATGTTCCACGGGGGGAAACCATCTGCAGACGACTGCAGCTGAAGACGAAGGCAGGGAAACATTGCTGTAATGCAGCTCTGGTGGATGAGCTCAGGTTTTGTGCTTATTAGTCAAGACTGAGATGAGAAAAGAGCTGGATTCATAACGATGGCTGTGATGTCATGAAAAGACACCCAGGTCATGATGTAAAGTCAAAGTACGCTGCCCGGCCAAAACAAAGGTCACCACCTGGATTTAACTAACAAAGTGCTGTAAGGAAGAGCCTATCGTAGGTCTGGTCCAGGTTCGGCCCAAAGAATGAGGTCAGCTGACTACCTGAATATACTGAATGACCAGGTTATTCCATCAATGGAYTGTTGGGGCTGGAATTGTAAAAGAGTGGTTCAAGGAGCATGAGACATCATTTTCACACATGGATTGGCTCCACAGAGTCCATTGAGAATCTTTGGGATGTGCTGGAGAAGATCTTGGTGAAAAATTCAAACTCTGGACAGAAATAAAAGTTGTGATGTTGCAGAARCTTGTGGAAATGATGACACAGCAAATGAAACGAGATATTAGAGTGTGTSACCATTTCTTTTGTCCGGGCAAAGATTTTTGGCAAGTGTTCAATGTTATAACAACTTTCAGAAAAGCAAAGAGTTCACATGCATGTTGAAAGAATTTTGCTTTGTAGTGTCTTATTAAGGAGTTTTAGAAAACAGACACTTTAGTTTCATGTTTATTTAAATTACATACATTTTAGTTAATGTCCTGGGGAAAAACACTAACATGGAGAAACAGTTTCATTTAATCAGTAGTATTGGAGGAAAAGTCTTAAATCTGCAGGAATAATAATAA